CCAGGCTATGGCACCCACACAGCACAACCCACGGGTGCCTCTGCTTTCCCAGCAGCCCAACAGGACCCTCCCTACTGGGAACCAGTGGGTGAAATCCACTGGAGCAAACTGGGAGGACTGGGAGAACTGGTCCTTTAAAGGATTGTGTAGGACTACGCATGGCAAGGCAGTAAACAACAGCCCGAGACAGAATAAATGAGTCACTTTTCTAGCGGCTTTGAATACTGTTTAAATATAAACATTGCAAATGAGTATCTCTAACTGAGAGAAAATAAAATTGGATGTTAAATACACCCATGGTTACTGCATATGCATATAAATACGTTACGTGGTTGGCACAGTCATTATGCATCTTCCTTCCGCACCGACTTTCTGCAGTGCGATACAGAAGTTGAAATGGAGAAAATGGGAAGGGAAAGGTCTTTGGTTGAACACCTTGGTGTTCTGGCAGGTGATTCACTTCCCAAAAGCAGCTGGGAAAAGCTGTTGTAAAGAAGTTGTAAAACAAAACGGTTTCACAACAGCCCCGTTGGCGTCGTCACATCACATCTGCCTCGCAGCAGGAGGGGAAGGAGCGAGGGGACAGGGTGCTCGACACGTTTTAATGGCATTAGGGACCCCTTCCACCACCCCTGCAAAGTCTGTGACGGTAACGGGGTCTGGAAAAGTCATTGACAGGCTTAAGCAATACCCAAAGTGCTCCCACCTCATGGAGGTGAAGGAAACACATCTGCCCTGGCCACAGGGCTGCTGCAGGGGCAACTGGGGCTCTCCGGGATGGTTGGGAAACACTGATGCCCCCAAGCAATGGGACTGGGACAGCAGGAGTCCTGCCATGGCTTGGCAATAGCTCCTGCCCCAAACCCCATCAGCCAAATGGGGTTGCAAACAGGGTTCCAAAAAGCTGCGCAGGAGGCGCCTGCTCAGTCTGGGCTGGTTGGCGAGTTGGTGATGCGGCCTCTGCGAGGTAGATGGAGCTCAGAGCACCAAGGATGTGATGGCACCAAGGAAACCTTGCAGGGAGGCTGTGACCACTGCCCCGGCCCCTGCAACCACTGCCCCTTGGAGCAAATCCCAGAGATCCTGAGCACCGGATTGGGACAAAGCCCTTTCCATGGGAGAAGGTGTCAGTGTGCGGTGGGCATGGCCCCAGCGGGTGGTGTCCACCCCTGCCTTAGCCCCCAGTCCGGCACAAGAGGGGTGCCAAGGGGTGCCTCGGCCTAGGACACGTTGATGCTGGAGAAGAGCGGGGCGCGGGGCGGCGTGGATGCCGTGCTGTCTGCCAAGTAGCCCAGGATGCTTTTGAGCTCGCTGCGCGACAGATTGGCTTTGATGTGCAGGAACGCTTCCAGGTGCCTTTTGCTGCGGAAGAGAAACGGGAAGGCGTTAGCTCCTTTAATGCGTACCAGGTCCCTCGTGCCAGGATGTGTCCCTCACCCCGTCACGGTGCTGAGGCCCCCAGCAGATGCCAGCTCAGCGTAAAATCACAGCATTATTTGGTTGGAAAAGACCTCTAAGATCATCGAGTCCAACCATAACCTGTCCACCACTAAATCATGCCCCTAAGCACCTCATCTCCCCATCTTCTAAATATCTCCTTTAATTAGACTCAGGCTGTAGTTACATAGGTGAGGTTCATATAGCCTGAGTCTAGAAAGGTACTTAAAGGTATTTTGACTGTTTCCTGGCTCAATTAAAGGTTCCCTATGAGTATCTGCAAGCCTCTTACCGGATGTCTGGGTACACCTTGGCGAGTGTTGCCACTTCAATTTTAATAGCACCCAAATCCTGCAGTCGGATTATTTCGGCCAGTTTGGGGAGCGCCGAGTTCAGCCACGTGGCCTGAGACCCCTGCCAGAGGAAAAAGCGGTCAATGGGGTGTCGTGGGGGTGCAGACCTCTTCCCAGCCCAGCAGCTGGGCTTCACCAGTTTCAAACTGGCTCCCGGGGCTGTTTCCTGGTCATGAGGAAGGACATCATGTTTTCCCATCACATTTTCCTTCCCTTGGGTTTCTATGCTGCCTGTCCGAGGACTGATGGGCACTGTAACACGCTGCCAAGTGCTGCTCCCTATTGCTCCACACACAACCTTGCCTTCAGCATCTCCAGGCATTGCCAAAATCCTGCCTCTGCTCACTCAGGTGAAAGCCCCAACTGGACCCGTGTTCTGGCCATTGGACATGCCAAAGTGGCGGCTGCCTGACCCCAAGTGATGCTCAGGCTTGTTTCTTCCCCAGCCAAATGTATGTGGGGTGGTGGAAAACAGGGCTTGGCCGAGCTTTTTTTGTAGGCAAATTTAGAGCCGTGACAGGAGAGAAGAGATCTCAGAGGGGTGCTTCAGTCATGGCGAAAAAGCAAAGGTCTCTGGTGGAGGAAACCCAGAGACCCAGCACTGCCCATTCCTGCCTGGTCTGAAAGCAGCAGAGTGAGGGAAATCGAGGCCCTAAAACCCAGACTCCAATTTGTGCTGAACCAGAGCACTGTTCAGCTAAACCTTCCTAATCTGCATCCTCAACAGGAAGCCGCTGCCTCCAGGACAAGGGGGGATGAAGTAAGGGCTCTGCATCCCGGAGGGCAGCCTGGTGGCAGGGCAGCCTTCCTGCCCGCAGCCACTTGGAGCCCCCTTTCTGCCCCAGATCCTGCCTTCCTGGAAACGCAGCTGAGCTGGAAAGGTTAACGAGAGGCCCCATCAAAGTGGTTTTCCTGTTTTCCAGCGAGCGCTCACGTACGTGGCTGGTGCAGAAGGCCTCCAGGTCAGCAGCGTTTTTGGAGATGCTCTGCGCCAGGTTTTGCTGCTGCGCGGCGGTTTTCAGGCTGACCTTCCTCTTCAGCAGCCTGACGATGTACTCCTTAACCAAACGGGCGTGGATCTTCTCGACGATGGCCTGTTGGGAAGGAGAAAAGGGGGTTACCCGTCTGTCTTTTGCTTGGGGACAACGCAAACCATGCGTGGATGGAGGACGCACGCGTTTTAGGGGCTGTAAAACATCCTGCATCCTAGATGCCGAGAATTGCTTTGTACCCAAACTAATGAAGAGTGGGAATTTCCAAGTGTTGTTTCCTTCTGGGAAGAGCTGAAGGCACAGAAAAGGTCTAAGATTTTAGGGAAGAGGTAGCAGAGAAACGGGAATTCACGCTGCTCCTCTTGTTCCTCCCTCCAGTACACAAAACATCATTTGGTTTCAGCTGCTACAAAGACAAAGGCAGGAAATGAAATATTTTTTTTTTTATATGGCCATGTTTCATATCAACTCCAGCACCACCGAAAATGTGGTGGTTCAGTTATGTGGGATTAAATGACTCAGTTATCTGGGATTTATCCCAGTTGCACCCGTTTCCTCCGGTCCTCAGGGCAATCAAAGGGGCCAGGACACAGAACTGTGCGACTGCATCCGTGTCTCAAGGTCACTAAACCAAACCCATATGTAAATAAAATCATATTTTGGGTGATCCCTAGGGCAATTTCTCTACAGAAAAGGTGTTTTTTCTCTGCAAAGGAGTCTGCTTCTGCTGGAAAAGAGTGAGATTTAGAGGGCTAATCCAGGTAACGATGGAAATCCAGCTCAAGGCAACTCCAGTGGCAGGGGATCAGAGCCGAAAATGCAGCATCCCTGCATCCCTGCGATGTTTCTCTTTGACTTACGTGGTAGGAAGGGTCCTTCAGGGTCCGGAAATCTGAAATATGTTTGCTTGTGGTTTTAATGATCTCGTTCATAATTTCGTTGCTGGAGTCCCACTTATTTTCTGTAAACTTCTTATAAATTGGCTGAAACAGAAGGAAAAGCAACTTAGTTCCCTCAAACCAATTCTACGCACACGAATATTTAGCATTTCTGTACGTACAGTATCCAAAACAGCGATAGGGGCATGCAGCCCTGTGCAGGGACGGGTGACAACAACTCATGGGGCAGGGGGAGAGGGGGCTGCATTGGGTTTGTGCCCCCTTTTTGGCTCCTCACGCTGAGGACAACCGAGGGCTTGAAAGGTTCATATTGAAGGTGCTTTATTTCTTTCCACATCTTTAATGTTTTACCCAAACCATCTTGTCTGATTAGAGAATTATCATCAGGGATAAAAAAAAATGAGTAATTATGAGATGTTTTCCATGGCAATTTTTCTTGGTTACAGTAAATAAATATGAAAATAAAGAGCCCTGCTCTGTCAGATGCCCTCTAAAAGGGGCCAACAGAGAAAGCAGAAGAGATTGGGGCTGAACACTCCTGAGTCCTACACCTTCCACACCACCACATCTGTGTGACTTAAGTAGCTTGCCTTGAATGTGAAAAAAGAAGAAAAAAGAAAAGAGCAGAAAAAGAAAAGAAAAGGAGAAGAAAAAGAGAAGAAACCCCAAGTGCCTTTCAGGCCACCTTTGTGAAGATGCCAAAAGCTGTGTAACTGCAGTTCATGTCACTTGGTTTGGAGTGCAAACACCCCTGCCTCTGGAGTTTGCCCTCAGGCTTGAGGAGCAGCTCAAGGGGAGGCGATTCGGGGTTTTCAACCGATCATAGGATCACAGAGTCATTGAGGTTGGAAGAGACCTCTAAGATTGAGTCCAACATCAACCCAACCCCACCATGGCCATAAACCACGTCCCCAAGTGCCACATCCACACGGTTTGTGAACCCCTCCAGGGATGGGGACTCCACCACTGCCCTGGGCAGCC